TATTATTATGAAAATCTGGCCAATTACTAATCCCATTATTACACTACTTTTTTCAACCTGCTGTCCCAACAGCACTTTATTATGCAAATGAGATACAGTGTATAGATAACATAGTGCTTAATGGGAAAACCAGTTTATGGAATTTTCACATATATTGCATAAAGCAAAACGGTATATCAAATCATTTTGTTTTATATTTTATAACATAGTTGAGAACCATCCTTAAACAAAGTTAGGTATAAAAAAAATCCTGAAACCTAAAAATTGATTGGTGATTTTTTTTTTAAATTCCCATTGTTTTTGCCTTTTCATGTCTATTCTTGTTATTTTATTTTTAGAAAAACTGTCCTGGTGTCCTCTACAGAGGACTTAGCATAACATATAAATAAAATATAATTTTTCAAAAATGTTATTTTACCATTTTTTTCTTATGCTCTAAACAATGTAATGACATGAAAAAATACTAAATTCACAAAGCTTTTTATTTCTGGTTCTCAGGAGGATATACTATTGTAACGGTACATAAATTCGAGTTTCATCATCCTGAAGGAACATACAAGCATCATAGCGATAGAAACACGAAGCTCTAATAATATGCTCGCAGTAGAAGTGCTTCGCGATTGGTCAACATGAGGCATGACTTCACCGTCAGCTGACTGCAGTGGGCGGGGTCTTTCCACGATGCAGGAAGTGTTATCACAGTTAATCTGAACACTACAAGCTTTGTTTTCACAATGTCTAAATATGACGAAAATATATGAGATAAAAACATCAAAGCATCTTTGAAAGCGTAAAGAAGCGCGGTGAAATCAGGTAGGAAAGTTATTTTACCTTCATGCGAGACTATTATCTTGCTATCATTGTTTGTTGCTGGTGGTTGGCCTGTCAATAATGGGTGCCACCAGACTCATTTAAAGGTAAAGTTTAAAGTCGAGTATCGTCAAGTCGGCTTATTTAAATAAAGTGCATATTATTGTACATATTTAAATTACATAAAGGCGCCAAAAAGTATTTTGACACAGTAGCAGTGTATAAAAGTGAATTAGAATACAAAATATCAAACCAAGTGACATTTATTTTCATTTATTTCAACACCAGTTCCAGTTCTGAGAAAAGACCATTTATTAGCATTTTACAGTAACACTTGATTTCATGTTTTGATGTCTAATGCAGTTACTTTCAGACATTGTAAAGTTCCCAAATGCTTTTTGAACCCCCCTTTTCGAGTATCAACTTCATTACCTTACATAGAAGTAGCTCCACCCAAAGTAAACAGTGTAAACTCAGTGCTGCATGTTGAAAGTGTGTTATTGATCTGCAGGCAGGAGCCATCATGTCTGAGCACAGTGACTCCAGTCTGCCGTCTGAGGAGAGGGTCCGCGCTCTCATCAAGCTGGGCAGCACTGTGGACGTCAGTGAGGATGTGCCACCGCGCCGGTACTTCCGCTCCGGGATGGAAATCATCCGAATGGCCAACATCTATGCAGAGGAGGGGAATGTCGAGCATGCATTCATTCTTTACAATAAGTACATCACGTAAGTACAGCAAGAGCAGCCTGGAAGTGCCAAATGCATGGCAGGTTGGTTATTGATTGCACATATCAGATTCATTAAACTGTTCACTCTCCTGATGGAAAATTTCCATTAGTACCATACAAAATAGGGCCTAAGCTCTTAAAGTCAAATCCCCCCCTTTCAGCTACTGATAAGTAAAATGCTTAACCTTCATAAAATATCGATCGTCATTGCTAGGAGGTCAAACTAAATGTTATATAAGCTGATCTGTTTTATGTTCTATTCATTTTAGGAGATTTGGCATTTTTGCAAACCTATTTCGAAAACAAAATTTAGGATGTGTAGATAGTTTAAAACTCTGATTTGAGTGATTTAGCTATTTATTATAAATAATTAGAAATAAACATTGAATACACATCAAAATTAAATAGATTTCAAAAGTAAATAAAATAATTCCTATTATATACTGTATATAATATGTGACCCTGGAGCACAAAAGCAGTCATAAGTCACACGGGTATATTTGTAGCAATAGCCAACAATACATAGTATGGGTCAAAATGATCAATTTTTTTATTTATGCCAAAAAATCTTTAGGATATTAAGTAAAGATCAGGTTCCATGAAGATATTTTGTAAATTTCCTGCTGTAAATATATCAAAACTTAATTTTTGATTAGTAATATGCATGGCTAAGAACTTCATTTGGACAACTTTAAAGGCGATTTTCTCAATATTTTAATTTTTTTGCACCCTCAGATTCCAGGTTTTCAAATAGTTGTATCTTGGCCAAATATTGTCCTATCAAATTATCAAAGTTTCAAATGTTCTCAATTAAAAAGAAATTGACCCTTGTAACTGGTTTTGTGGTTTAAGTTCACACATGTATCATTTTATTGCTATAAATATACTCATAAAAATAGATTATTTTTTAATTATAAAAATATTTGACTTTTAATATTTTCTTATTATTTTGCTTCCATTTATTAAAAGAATTCCATTACATTTCATAAAACATTAAAAAAAAACATAAAACCATTTGTGTGATCTTGTTATTTACCAGAAATACATATCTTAATATACTAGGAAATAAATAAACATTAAACATCAAAACTAAATATATTAAAATAATATTAATAAAAATTAAAGTAAGTTAATATAATAAAATTACATTTTATAACATATTATATAACTTATAAATATGTATAAATATTATTATTGAATGGTAATATTTTGAAAATAATCAATAATGATCCTGCGTTTTACTTCCCTTTAGGTTGTTTATTGAAAAACTTCCTAAACATCACGAATATAAAACAGCCAACATTCCTGAGAAGAAAGAAACGATGAAGGTGAGATTTTCCTCTTCCTGGGGAAAGTTAAAAGTTTCATAAAGCATGCCAAATCGTGATCGTCTCAAGCTAATGAATATCCCTTATTTTCCATGCTAGAAATTAAAGGAAGTTGCTTTTCCGAAAGCTGAGGAACTGAAAAAGCTGCTTCTCAAGCAGTATGAAAAAGAACACGCCGAATATCTCGTCCGAAAGGTGGGTAACATTTAGGGGCAGATTTTTCTTAAATGATACCTACAAACTAATTCAAGTAATAGTGTTTATTGACGGGTGTGTGACTCCTGGCAGCGAGCGGAGGATGAGGCCCAGGCTCGAGAAGTGGCCAAGCAGCGGGAGCAGGAGGCCGAGAAGCAGATACGGGCCGAGCAGCAGCAGCGTCAGCGCGAGCAGGAGCAGTTCAGTGCCTTTGAGGAAATGATCCGCAGGCAGCAGCTGGAGAAGGCGCGCCAGCGCATCGTCCAGGAGTTCAGCGTCCCGGCGTCGCCCACCTCTCCTCAAGATCTCTTGGTGCCTGATGCACAAGGACCTCCGCAGGCCTCGTATTCACCGCCGACGAGCCCCGGAGGAACCCCGAACCATGTCTTTCAAACTTCACCCCTCCCAGCATTTGACCGCTCACTGAAGCCTAGTGTTCCAGTCAGTGCAGGACACAGTGAGGCCTCTCAGTTTGCACTTCCTTATTCATTGCTGACCTACATTTATTAAAATTGTTCAGTAATCAAGTTGAGATTATGTGTGTTTTCTTAGGTGTGCTGGTAAACGGCTTGCGGCAGCTCTTTGTGCCCGCCGAGCTGTGCCAAAGGTTTTTAAAGCTAGCAGATGCCAACACAGCACGGGCCGTGGAGACCTGTGGGATTCTCTGTGGCAAGCTGGTACGTCCAAAACAAGCTCAGACACAAGCAGACTGCTGTGGTGTTCATTCACATTGTTTCTACAAGTATTGGCAGTGACATAATCTAGAAACATTGTGAATAAACACCACAACAGCTTAAGCAGCAAATTGTGCTTATGTCACTGCCAATACTTTTGGCCACGACTGTATATAAATCTTACTATCTTACTATCTCTTGAATATAATTTGTGCAAACTGCAACCTTAATAACATGTCTGAGGAAATCTGTATTATGATGAGCAAATCACAAAACAGTTTGCTGTCTTGGTCCACAGATGAAGAACGCCTTCACAGTGACACACGTGATCGTACCCAAGCAGTGTGGAGGACCAGATTACTGTGACACAGAGAACGAGGAGGAACTTTTCCTAATCCAGGATGAGAATGATCTCATTACACTAGGCTGGATTCATGTATGATGTTTTCTGTATGGTCACGTGACTTTAAAAAAAGCATTTATTATACAGTATCACTGTAATTATGTGTCATGAGTTCATTCACATTGTTTCTACAAGTATTGGCAGTGACATAATCTAGAAACATTGTGAATAAACACCACAACAGCTTAAGTTGTTGTCAAAATGTATGTCACTGCCAATACTTTTGGCCACGACTGTATATAAATCTTACTATCTTACTATCTCTTGAATATAATTTGTGCAAACTGCAACCTTAATAACATGTCTGAGGAAATCTGTATTATGATGAGCAAATCACAAAACAGTTTGCTGTCTTGGTCCACAGATGAAGAACGCCTTCACAGTGACACACGTGATCGTACCCAAGCAGTGTGGAGGACCAGATTACTGTGACACAGAGAACGAGGAGGAACTTTTCCTAATCCAGGATGAGAATGATCTCATTACACTGGGCTGGATTCATGTATGATGTTTTCTGTATGGTCACGTGACTTTAAAAAAAAGCATTTATTATACAGTATCACTGTAATTATGTGTCATGAAAATAATCAATCTCTTTTATTTTTTTTATATATAAGACTCACCCGACCCAGACGGCCTTTTTATCCAGTGTGGACCTGCACACACATTGCTCTTATCAAATCATGCTTCCAGAGTCTATAGCCATTGTGTGCTCACCTAAATTTAATGAGTACGTTTTTGGCTATATGCCATGTTAATTAGTTTGAGTGATAGTTAGCACGTTTAATGGAAAAATAACAGTCTGATAATTTATACTCCAGGACTGGCTACTTTCGGCTGACAGACTACGGGATGGGCGAGATCTGTTCCTGCAAACAAAGAGGATTCCACCCGCATCCAAGGGAGCCGCCCCTCTTCTCAGTGAGTGATGCCTGATTAGTGATTAGTGAACCCTTTAAGTACTTAAAGGAATAGCTTACGCAAAAAATTTAAATAGGTCATCCAAGATATAGATGAGTTTGTTTCTTTATGGGAACAGATTTGGAGAAATGTATCATTACATCACTTGCTCACCAATGGATCCTCTGCAGTGAATGGGTGCCGTCAGAATGAGAGTCCAAACAGCTGATAAAAACATCACAATAATCCACAAGTAATCCACACCACTCCAGTCCATCAGTTCACATCCTGTGAAGCAAAATCGTTTCTTTGTAAACAAATCCATCATTAGAGTGTTTTAACTTTAAACCGTCATTTCTGACCAAAATAACCAGTCTATAATCCATAAGAACACTTCCTCCAGTGAAAAAGTCCATCTCCTGTTATTCTTTCACATCCAAATCCACCAACATATTTGTTTAGAGCTGTTGATCTGTGCATATTTCTCTCCTGATTCAGATGAGACGACTTCACTGGAGAAAGCAATGTTATAGAGGACTTGTATTTTAGCCAGAAACTAATAGTTTTAGTTAAAAGTTAAAAACATTGTAATGATGTATTTGTTTCTTACAAACATGCAGTTTTTCATGTCACAAGATGTTAATTGATGGACTGGAGAGGTGTGGATTGCTTGTGGATTATTGTGATGTTTTTATCAGCTGATTGGACTCTCATTCTGACAGCACCCATTCACTGCAGAGGATCCATTGGTGAGCAAGTGATGTAATACTAAATTTCTCTAAATCTGTTATGATGAATAAACAAACTCATCGACATCTTGGACGGCCTGTAGGTGAGTACGTTTTCAGCAAATTTTCATTTTTGGGTGAAATATTCCTTAAACTCCATTTGATTGATCTACTTTGTCCTTCAACCTTATGTGCACTATAATGAATATTTTGCATCCGTGTTTTGTGCTCAGGCTAGTCAACACGTCACCATCACAGACGGAAGTGTGACCGTGATGGATTTGCGGTGATTTCATCGCTTCTGCTTCGAAATACGTGCCTTTGCTCTTGACCTCACAGCGACTTGCCAAGAAGCTCCCAATGGGCAAAGAAGGTCCCTGCTGAACATTGCTACAAAGACACTGGGCCTCTATTATCACATCTTAGCAGTCTATATTTATTAGTTTAATTCTGTAATATCCTAAATCAATCCAGTTGAGGTGTGTAGTTTCTAGCACTGGCAGCATCAACTGGATTTGCAAAAAAAGTTGTGACCTCAAGAATGCGTAATGGAAAAATAGAAATGCATGGCTTCTGTGAGCTTCCTTTTGTTTAAAACTAGTTCATTCTGTTCGATATTGCAGAAATTACACACTTCACCTATAAACACCTGTACATATTTCAGTGTTCACTGCAAAAAAAAATTCCAATACAAGTATCTAAAAAAAATTATTTTTTTTGAGAAACAAAATAAACTAAGTCTCGTTTTCTGGAAAAAAAAAAAGAACAAAATTAAGTGAGTTTATGCTTAACCTAAAAAGATATATGCAAATCAAAAGAAAAACAAGATTATTTTTCATACTCAATTGACATTTTTTTCTTGCTTTAAGCATAAATTCACTTGCTTGTGATACATTTTTCAGAAATACATTTTTCATCTCAATCAAATATGTCTCGATTTAAGAACATTTAGATATTCGTGATGGGAAAACAAGTCAAAAATGCTAAGTAAGAAAATCATTTTTTTTGCAGTGTTGTCTTTGCCATTCCATATTTTGGCCTTTTAAAAAAACTGAAGGCTTAATGATATGGTTCATGTGCAGGATCACATAAGCCATCCACTTAATAGCATACGGCTGTTACATTTTATTTAAATATGCAGTTGTTTAAAGCTCTGCCTCTGGTCATACTGGAAATGTTCAGATCTTTGTTGATTAAAAGATCCTCATACGCCATTGCAACCAGTTTCAGACAGACTGGCTTCTGGATTTAGCGTAAGACATGACAGTGAAACAGCTGATTCTTTACGTCTGACTATGATATGATACAAAATAGCTACTTTAATATGTATCAGACTTTGATCATGAAGGCAGATGATTATAGGGAGCAAAGACATAGTAATTTTCATGTTCTTTCAGCCAAACTATTCTCTGTTGCTTTCCGTAACATTTAAAGTGTTGTTAGTCTTACTCTTAATGCATATTTTGTATATAATTTTCTGTAGTCATTAGGTTCGTTTTTGGGGACTCTGAAGCTTTGCATTTTTTATTAATACATAATTAAAAGCAAACATATCTTCACTTGACTATGATCTGCTAAGGCAAGACACTACAGGGAAAACCATTGTTTTGCTCAATTTTGGCCTATTTTTTTTCCATAACATGTTTTCTTTCAGAGTAGTGCAAAGAAAATATCCAAAATACACATTTAAGGCTTTATTGTTTTCTGTTATGTACATTTATGCAAATATATGCGTATTTAATTAGATAATGTTTGATTTGCATATTTAGACATGACATTTCAGAAATTGTCTACTGTAATTAAACAACTAGGGAAGTATGGTGATATCTATTAGTTTAAATGTGTACCTTACTCACCTGTGGTGTCTTGTCTACGATATATTAAAGGCTTTGACACCTAGCATTCCTTTTTTTGCACTTATGGACTGAAATAAACAATATGTTTATCGCTTACCATGTTCACTGAGGTAATGTGCTATTTAAGTGTTTGCGTGTACTAGAAATGTTAAGCTGCTTCAGTCATTAAAAAACTGTTCTGGAACAGTGTTGTAAATACAACTTAACCACTGATTTCTAGTCGTGTCCATTTTTGGAAGGACAAACAAAGTAGTTTTGAAAGCCGAACCGGCGATCCACAGCGCAAAGTTGTAGTATTTCCTCAGCGACCAGCACGGATCAGCTCCAGGCATGACGAAGCAGATATCGTCCTCTTTTGGAAGACCAAACAAAGTAGTTTCGCTTTCACAACGAAACACAGTGTCTCCACGACATGGCGGCGGCAACAATACTACAGCGAGAATAAAAGTTACGCCTTCTTTCTTTGCGTGAACATTTGGGCGGCATTATGCAAATCTTCCCACATAGTGAGGTAGATATGTGGGGGCGTGTTAGAACGAGCTGTTTTAGGTAGGCGTGGTTGACTCTGAACTTTTATAAAGAATATCTCTTTGGATTTGAGACTTTAGTCTTTGCAACTTTACAGATCTTCTTTATGCACCAAGAGCTTGTAACACTCCAAAGAGAAAGGAAAAATTTAAATCGCATCATATGACCCCTTTAAAGTTCATGTACAGTATAAATAAGTGGCAAAAACAAACGCGGTCGGTATTCAATAGGTGGCGATGGAGAGTCGCTCTGCTTCATTGTTTTGCGCCGGAAATGACGCGCAGAAGAAGACCCTCTTCCTGCGTGCGATCAGCTACTGTTATTAACTTACACGGATTATCGGTCATTTTTTTATCAAGTGGTGGTTAAAATTAACATTTATCGCGAACTATCGTTCAAATAGGCAACAGATACGTTTTAAACACGTCTTAATAGCATTTCGTTAGAGAAACAAAGAGTACTTAGCGTACAGGCTAAAGTAAACAACGTCTTGCGCAATTGAACTTTAAATTACTTTCTCCTGTTAAAAATAGAAATATGACAGAGTCCAAAGAGAAAGCTTTGAGTGTGAAGTCTGATGTTACTACAGTCGCTGTCAGGAATGATGTGGTAGAGGCTAAGAAACCGATGAGGAAGATTCTTGATGAAGATGATTATATAGAGGTTAGACAGTCATATATACTGTTTACAACGGGATTTTCTCACATAATTCATTGTATTATACTTAATACATTCAATAATTTGTGTTATACCGTTTTAATGCGCATGTGTTTTGAAATATGTTCCTTGAGTACACTTGGTTTGGCTTTGGTTTTTATTAAATAACGACGGTGATCTTCAACACCGCAGTGTTTACACAAAATACCAAACCTTAGTCCGTTTTTCAGCATGCAATGTGTTCTACAGGAACAGCTGATTGAGTATCATGTGTCACCTGTAAACAACATGCTTATATCTGCTTAAATTCTTCTGACACACATACCACAATTTCTTCCAAAGGGTTTGGAGAAGATCATCCAGAGGGACTTTTTCCCAGATGTCTCCAAACTTCAAGCGCAGAATGATTATCTGGAGGCGGAGGAAAATGGAGATATGGAGCGGATGAGGGAGATCGCCATCAAATACGGGTCTTTGATGGCTAAATACACCCCACGAACCTATGTGCCCTGTGAGTGACGTTTCTTACGGTTTGTGATTAATAAAGGAATAGCTCACCCAAAAATGAAAATTTACTAAAAATGTACAATGGGTCCTCGGCAGTGAATGGGTGCCGTCAGAATGAGTCCAAACAGCTGATAAAAAACATCACAATAATCCACACCACTCCAGTCCATCAATTAATGTCTTGTGAAGCAAAAAACTAAATGTTTGTAAGAAAGCTTTAAAGTTAAACTGCCTTTATAATGGATTTGTTACAAACACACAGCTTTTCGCTTCATAAGACATGAATTGATAGAATGGAGTTGTTCATTATTTTTGGATTATTGTGATGTTTTTATTCGATGCTTGCATTCTGACGGCACCCATTCACTGCAGAGGATCCATTGGTGAGCAAGTGATGTAATGCTGAATTTCTCCAAATCTGTTTTGATGAAGCAACAAACTCATTCACATCTTGAATGTTTTTTTTAAATCATTTTGTTCCCATTTAGACACGACTCCCTCAACATTTGAGACCCCAGATGGTCGAAGTGCATCTCCATCGTGTTCGCAGAGCAAACACAGAGCAGCGAAAGAGGATGGTAAGTGACTGCTGCTAAAACTAATACTTATCATCACTTACGCATTTTATTAATTAAAGTACATTGTGAAAGCTGTTTTGTATTATTGTATTTTTTAAATGTAAATATGCAAACAAGGCACTACCTAATTACATAAGCACAAAATCTGCAGTTTTTACAGAGGGGATTTGGGGTCTTTTTGGAATTTTAAAGATATATGCTACTTGTGGTCTGTGTTATGTTTCAGGAAAAGATGCTGAAAAAACAGAAAAGGATCTTCCGTCTCTGGACCGTTTTCTTGCTAAAAACACGAGTGAAGACAACGCATCCTTTGAGCAGATAATGGAGCTCGCGGAGGACAAGGACAAGCTGAGGCATGCGTGGCTCTATGAGGCAGAAAATGAATTCAAAGAGGTACAACACAACAGAAGCTACTACATAGCTTTTGTATAGTTTTGTATTGGTGGGTCTTGTTTTGAGATCTGATAATGTTTATTGTTCTATCGTTTAAAGAGGCACGAGCAGAACCTCGCTCTACCGTCCACAGAGAAACAGGCGCTTGAGTGCACCAAGGCAGGAGTGGAAACATGGCAGTACAAGGCCAAAAATGCACTCATGTACTACCCTGAAGGTAAAGTTTCCCATTGAGGATCTGCATCAGTATATTATTACATAATACTTTCTGAGGCATGTACATGAACTGTTGATAACTTGATTATGAGTAGGGAAGGGTGATATTTTTTGCAAGCAACATCATAAATATTGCAGTAATTTTGGTGTCATTTCAATATGTATATGGCCAAGGAGCCATACGGTAAATTGCATGTTTGTTTTGTTCCCCAAAAGGTGAAAAAGATGACACACTGTTCAAGAAGCCACGGGAGGTCCTGTACAAGAACACTCGGTTTGATGTTGACCCCTTCTGTAAAGCCCTGAACAAATCGCAAATCCAGCAAGCTGCTGCGCTCCATGCACAGGTACCATCTTATTGGTCAGCATCCGATCATAAACTACTTTCATGAATAATGACTAAACAAATAGCATATTTCTCTGCTCTGCCTTCTGTCTAGTTTAAACAAGGTAAGGTTGGTCCAGACGGCAAAGAGCTCCTGCCTCACGAATCCCCCAAAGTGAATGGTTACGGATTTGAAGGAGAAGCCTCCCCTGCTCCTGGTGAGTGCCACTAATTTTGTTGATTAATTTAAGTTTTAGTTTAATATAGAAATCCATGCATATTACTATGGTTATGAGGGCTGGGTTTTGACACAAATTTCACGATTCGATTCCCATTCACAAGCTTTCGATTTGATTACCGATTCGATTTAATATCGATTATTTTGGATACATATCAGGTACAGTACATGGCAAATTTTCTCAAGGAAAATAATCTCTCAACTAATGCTGTAAAATATACATGAGAGTCAGTTGGTACTACATTACTATAATATTGAAGGTTAAAATTGATTTGTAGACTAATATACAACTGCTAAAATTACACTTAATGAAGTTTTTAAAATAATAAAGTTACAATTGCATAATAATATTTCTAAGTTTTTTTTTAAATATAAACATTTAAATGTGGCTGTCAAAAACTTGGATTTATTCAAACATAAATTAAAACATTGAAGAACAGTAAAAATTATAATGAATATGTTATATGGTGCATATATTTAGCAAAATGCCCCTCTACAGCTTATTTTTTTATCTGACTAATGAGTTAATGGTCACCAAATATGTTTTTCTGAGGTAAATGTGACGTTACGTGACATTGTTTACAAGCTGTTATATTGACGTCTTTGTGCGGCTGAAACGCTAATTAAAAGAGATTACACGAGACAGGATACGGCTTGTAAAGTTATACTCTTTCTTTTAACTTACCTTCGGATGTTTAGTCATGTTTATTTTGTGCTGAAACTGGTATTAATGTGGAGGACATCAGTTCACGTCTGTTGAACTGAGGCACTACAGCGATCTGTCACTCCACATTGAACAGCAACAAAATAACAGTTTGTAAAGATTTGATTTGATTTTGTAGCTAGTATATATTCAGTTTTTCAGCATCATTGACATCAACTGATTCAATCAGGTGAATCACTTGGTCCATTCAGTTCTTTCCTAGTCTTGATTTCTTTTGGACAAAACTGATTCAGTCCTCCTGAAGGTTTAGGATCTTTTATGATGTTGAAAACCTCTTTCAAGATCTCAGGGGCACAATAAAAAGGGTTCTTCAGATTTGTGTGAATTATTTCACCCTCCATGTTTTACATGATTCACTTGTTGAATCCATCTTTAGGTTGCATATGTGCAAACACTCTTTTAGTGTACTTACACTAACACAATCTATGATTGCAGGGTTTGACAGAAGAAAGGAAATAATGTCTTTTTTGTCATTAAGATTGGACTAACACATTATATAATGCTGGGACAGACTCTCTTAATTCTTTTCTTGAAAATAAGTTTGAACATTGTTTTTGTAATAAAATCTGAGACTTTGTTTCATATTAAAAGTACCAAAGCACAATGCTTATTGCGATTTATTGGATGAGAAGTGCCCTTCAATGTTCTGTCCATTAACTGAAAACAGGCTAGACTAATCGATTCTTGGAATTTAAGAATTGATATCGTTCCGTAAAAATGAGAATCGATTAATATATATTAATCGAGATATCTATGTTTTTTACCCAGCCCTAATGGTTATTACACAATTTATATTGCAATTTATATGCAAACATAAGTATTTATTCAAAGGCTTTAAAATCAGAATGTTTTTTTTTTTTAGAAACCGAAGAGCATAAAGTTTTTGAAAGCATATAAAAGTACTTGTGTCATGTTTGCCTGAGTGACTTGTTTGTTTTGAAGGTGTTGCAGAGTCTCCTCTGATGACGTGGGGTGAGATTGAAAGCACTCCGTTTCGCCTGGATGGCTCGGATACGCCACTTGTGGAGAGAAGTCACGGTCCATCGTTCAAGGTCCAGTTCATTTCTGATTAGAATGTCACTGTTTTTTTCACTTGCATATATAAAAAGAATATTTGAGTTTTATTGATACCCAATTTTATATAATCAGAAAAAAATCAATGCGTGTTAGATGGCAGTGTGCACTGTTACATTTATTGTCCAATATTTGAATAAAAATAACGAATGGTTGTTTTTATGGATGTTTTCCAGATTCCAGAGCCTGGGAGAAGAGAGCGGTTGGGACTGAAAATGGCCAATGAGGCTGCGGCAAAAAACAGAGCTAAGAAACAGGAGGCACTGCGCAAAGTCACTGAAAACCTCGCAAGGTAAAGAAAAGAAGTCTGAAATTGTAAAATATGTTTGTATTTCACACTTTTTTTTTGTCTAGGTTAAACAGCATTTTTTATTATTTGTAATTCAAAATGCTGATTAAACTAGAGAAAATGGAAAATGTACGTATTTTAATTTTATTATCAGGATAACAATTTTAGTGAAAAGTTGAATTGTAAAATGAACATGACTTTTCATATGTCTTAATATTTGGGTCATCCTCCATTTATTGACGATCAACCACAAAATATATTAATATGTTAATGTCTTACATAAACCTTAATTTTCTATATTTTATTTTCAGAATTCCAAAACTTTATTTGAACATTTAAATTAGATCCCAGATTTTCAGTGTGGTTCCAGACTAGTGGTTGACCGATATATTGGCAAGCCAATTATTTGGCAGTTTTTAATTTTCGGCATTGGCCATTGTTTTTGTGTTTTATTTTGACAATGCATGGGACTTTTATTTTGACAGTGTTGAGATCGTCACCTGAGGTGCTGTGATTACTGTTTTTACTAATGGCTTCAGTAATTACTTGCTTTTTCTTGTTTTATTAGTAAAAATATCGGTCAACCACTATTTCAGACTTTGGACACAGACACTGTATTTTTGCTATAAATAAGTGTTTCAGTATAAAGCGTTTCAGCGGGGGACAGAGAAAACAGCCATGTAAACTTAAAAAAGAGAAACTATGGCCAAAAGATCCCCCTTTATTTTCAAAGCGTTATTCAAAACTGCATTTATGATGTGTACTAAATTATTCTTTATATGTATTGCAGCCTCACTCCGAAGGGACTGAGTCCCGCTGCGCTGTCTCCTGCCCTTCAGCGTCTAGTAAACAGATCATCCAGCAAATACACAGATAAAGCCCTGAGGGCGAGCTACACCCCGTCACCTGCGCACAGGGGCATGGGCTCTAAGACTCCTCTCGGAGGTCCAGCCACTTCCTCCATCACACCAACTCCCGGAAAAACCAGAACACCAGCCACACAGGACCCGGCCTCCATCACAGACAACCTCCTCCAGCTGCCCAAGAGGAGGAAAGCCGCGGATTACTTCGGAATCTAAAGACCGAACACAAACTCTAACATGGGCAGGGTCAAATATTTATTGTTGTTTTTTTGCATTTTTTTAAAATACTTTTTTAAAACTGTGAAACTGAATGAATCATCTTTTTCTTGGACTTCATTTTATAAGGAAAAAAAAGTCTGCGACTTACACCAACAGTTTGTAAAGATTTGATTTGATTTTGTAGCTAGTATATATTCAGTTTTTCAGCATCATTGACATCAACTGATTCAATCAGGTGAATCACTTGGTCCATTCAGTTCTTTCCTAGTCTTGATTTCTTTTGGACAAAACTGATTCAGTCCTCCTGAAGGTTTAGGATCTTTTATGATGTTGAAAACATCTTTCAAGATCTCGGGCACAATAAAAACGGTTCTTCAGATTTGTGTGAATTATTTCACCCTCCATGTTTTACATGATTCACTTGTTGAATCCATCTTTAGGTTGCATATGTGCAAACACTCTTTTAGTGTACTTACACTAACACAATCTATGATTGCAGGGTTTGACAGAAGAAAGGAAATAATGTCTTTTTTGTCATTAAGATTGGACTAACACATTATATAATGCTGGGACAGACTCTCTTAATTCTTTTCTTGAAAATAAGTTTGAACATTGTTTTTGTAATATCTGTTTTTCAGTCACATGTTGTATATGATGCAATTGTAAATAATCCATGTTGGCCAAAACAACACATAAGTGTTTCATATTTGTTTTACTGTTTAAATTTTCAGAAAAACCCATAATTGACAATTTAATGCAGGTTTCCACTGTGACAATTTACCACATATAGTGTGACAACAAGCTTTACTCACTTGGTGTTAAATTAATTGAATAGCTTTTTTGTTGCAATATGTTACACTGAAAAAGGTGTAGGAATTACTTTGAAACAGTTTTCACTTAGAAATTGTAAGTAAAATTCACATATAATTACAAAGAAACAGCAAGGAATACATTGAATTAAACATGAAATGTTGAAAAAGTTGAGTAGTATCTTCTCGTAAAAATGCACTCCAGTAATCTGTGTTTTATTAACAACTTTGAAAAATCTAGTGGCTAAATTGTTCATTTCATTTGTATTTTTTGGGGGGGTTGGTAAGATTTTATAAATTTTTTGTTAATGTTCACCAAGGCTGCATTTATTTGATCAAAAATTCAACAAAGATAGTAATGTGCTGATTTGGTGCTCATGAAACATTTGTTATCAATGTTGAAAACGGATGCGCTTCTGAATTTTTTATTAAAGTGTCATGAAAACAAATTCCTCGTATGTGTAAACATACCTGGCAATAAAAACTCATTCGGATTCTGATTCTGATTTTTTTTTAATGCACTGGTCCCAAACTTTTGACCAGTAGCCTATATGAATGAATGTGCAGGGTTTTTAGGCCCTATAGTGCCAACTATATTTCTTATCCTAGTCATGTGACTGGCTGCAATAAAACAAATGCGCTTAAACACTTTTGCTTGCCAGAGTGTAACATTCCATGAAACATGCGTTTGAACAGTGAGACATGAAGGCAATGTCATGCATGTATTATAATGAGGAGGTGATTAAGCGCCTCCTCCCGTCTGTGGGCTGGGGAACATGGTTGGGATTGTTTTGATGGGACGGTGGCGGAGCCATCTTGTTTTATATCCGTCCTAAGCCCGTTTACCGAGCCAGAGGAAACAGCCATGGAATATGACACTATATCCCGACCCTAGCCAACTGAAATCAACACATCCGAGTACCGAAGCTTATTTATGATCGACGGAATATACACAGCACGCGGAATCTGCTGTTCGCTGTGATTTATTTCTCCACATCGGCGGCTGCTGCTTTAACTGCATTTTCTCTCGCACATTTTCTCCGGTGTAAGATACTATGAATGGAGGATAAATGTTGCCGAAGGCTGACAGCGGTGGTTTTGTGCTTCTCCTCTTCATTCTGACAATAACAGATCCGTCACGGACAGGTAAAGGTGTTGCTTTAATCAATGCATTTGCTGCAGTCTGGGCTGGGAAAGGCTTGCAGCTCTGCTTGTATTCGGTCATGAGGGGGATGAACAGGCGCTGAGCTGCAAAGGCTCTTTCGCAGGCCATTAGGGCCTTTAAATAGCGCTATGTTATCAATTTGTTATTGCCTTGTTATATTTATTAAGCTTTACGCTTTTATTGCGTTCCATATGGCAAGCTGTATTAATATTCAATCTTGAAAACAACATAGTATCTATTTATGTTACTAGCTTTAAGCCTTTTGTATTACATACCATGTGGCAAGCTGATTTAACATTTATTCCTTAAAACTACATGGTATATGTTTGTGATTCATTACTCATTTACGTATTCCCTTACTTCTAGTCACTATACCAACTATCTATTCCGTTGTTACTTGTAACAAATTGCAAATTTTGCCTTCTCTGGTGAACCCAATTATTTCATTTCAACTAGTGCACAAGTTATTGCTGATAACTTTTCCAGTTTTACTAGTCCTAGTATTTTATGGATATCTATTCCAGTGGTGCGCAACTGAAGTAAAAATCCCAGTCATTTTCTCAATAGGGAAACTGATTTTTAGCGATAATTTATAAACCTTAGCAAACTGTGAGCTACGAAGTTGTTTAGTGATGGACTATGCTTTTGCTGAAGCCATCAGCCCAAATTTTTTCAACTTGTTTTTAAAAGAATCAAGTTTAACAGAGGAATTCCTTGTGGAAAAACTACATGATCCATGATTCTGCAATGAAATCAGCACCAATCAGAGAAACAAGTGGTGCTAAAAAAATCGCCCACTTCCATAAAGAACTGCTAATGATCAGTCTCCCTACTCTCTTTAAAGTCAGCGTGAACCGGAAGTTGCTGCCGACTTTATTTCAGTGTAGTGACGTATTTCCATCTGAAACGGAATATTGAATAGAGGGCATGGTTTTATGTTTGCGCTCCTCCTCTCTGTCTCTCACTCATAGCAATCTAATGGTTAGAAGGGTGTGTTTAAGGATATTCTGCTCAAGCCGTCAAACTGACGTCATCAGAAAAGGAATGCCATTCCAGAGCGGAAGTAAATGTTCAGATTTTGATAAAAGATTACGAAAGCAAACAATTTTTTTCAGCGGATTAACTTGCACGGATTAATTGTTTACATCAAGACTAGCAATGTGCGCTAGTAAAGTAAATAAAGTCCATTTTGATTTCATGTGGACTTTAACTACATGTACTACATACAAACTTTTTTTTTTAAATACCTATGGAAAAATAGTCAAAACACAGATCCAGAAAAAACAACTAAAAATGCTGTATTATGCATGCCAGGCCACTAGTTGGTGATGTCACTCCGTAAAGAAAAACTATGCGCCTGCACGGAAATGTAAACATGTAAAATGTATGCGCATGATGTCACTTTTTCACAAATTAGCATTTTTGTAGTTTACATGGAGACAGTAACAATATCAGAAACCTGTTTCAAAAGTTTGCATTTTCAGGACCACAAAACGACATTGTCATGTAAATGAACAGCCAAGACACATAAAAAAATCTGTTTTAATAGAAAAAGGTGTTGTGTAAACACCCCCTAAATAAGCACTATATTAAAACTGAAATAAGTATAATTATAGTAACTATTAGAAGACTAGTTGGAAGTGAATAGTTGGTATGCTCACAGATTCCCATACAATAAATGACAACATTTGCAAGTCGTTACTAGTAGCATTGTAAATGTTACTTGTCACTGTTGGGATAGTGACTAGTAGCAATGAAACAAATACTAGTATGTAATGAATGGTTGCTAGTGGAACTGAAAGATTCTAGTTGATGAAAATCTAAAGTTACTGGTCACCACTGGATTTCTAGTAATGAAAAATACAATTACATTAAAATATATGCTTGTAGGTTGTAAGGAATAAATGTTTAAACAACTTGCCATACATACCAACCATTTGCAGTCAATCTAATGTTTCTGGTAGGCCACAGGTCAATACAGGAGCAGACAGATCAAGCAGAACGCTCTGGACAGGGAAACATCAGAGCAGCGGCGTTCTGCTGGTGTCTGTTCTGATATTCCTCTGGTAGACGGGAGGTTTATTAATCCTACTGATATAAGGTGATGCATGGAAACCCAGTGGATCAAATAAATAGGACAGTATTTAGGTTAATGGCCTGTGATGTGCTTTTCTGTGTTTAATTTCCATGGGGAAGCGAAGCCCAGGTTATGTGCACTTGTTTTGAGGGCAGGATGGGTTGGTCTGTCTCCATGTTGAATCTCATCAAATAAACCCACAGCTGGTGTTTAATCTCAGTGTGTGCTCTTGTTAAAAGTGCATAATATTACACATGATCACTGTGATCTTAACATTAAAGGAGACTTTTGCATATCTTTACTTCTGACCCAGAAGACTTTTTAATGCATAACAAACTTGAAGTGGTGCATGTGCAAAGTAGGACAGTCGACGATTATTTTCCTTTATACATACATTTTAACTTAAAATCTTAGTTTTTATCTATTTGTCAACTACCCAAATGGGTTATTGGTACTATTTTGGTGATCACTGGAACTTATGGGCACATGGAGAAGTGTTCACCTGTTCACAATGGTCTTACTGTCTGCAGCGGTGAATGTGGTGCAGATCTGGTTCTAGTATTGCATCCATAGTAGAGAACACACTGGTCTTCTGAAGGCATCTCAGTGTTGCTGTGTTTGTTTTAGGATAACTTTAGACTCAAGGGTTGGACATGTGATTGATTGAAGGACTGAATGTCTGGACGTCCCAAGAAGAGAAGCTCTTTTTAAAAATCTTTGTCTGTAGGTTGCTTCGTTTTCTCAAGAGATTGTTTAGTGGATTGGAGGATCAAGCTAATTGGGTGTTTGCTAACATCAGATAACAGAATTTATTTTCGTTATAATATTAGATGGCTTTTATGTATAAAATGATGCACACACACATATTGGGTTTTTGCATTTTGTGACGACTGTCCATAAACATAATGATTTTCATATTGTACAAACTATAAAACATTCTGCGTTTTTACATTTTTACATTAGAAAAAAAACAACAGCATGATTTAGAAACTGTTTTGCACATGAGGACATC